GAGAGACAGCAGAGAGCGACAGCAGAGACAGACAGACACGAGACAGAGAGAGACAGACAGACAGAGACAGAGACAGAGAGAGACAGCAGAGACAGACAGACACGAGACAGAGAGAGACAGAGACAGACAGACAGAGAGAGAGAGACAGACAGACAGATGAAGACATTCTTCAGCCTGCATGAATGTAAAACTTATTTTTTGCACTAAATGTTAACTTGTGCAAAATGCAATTGTGTTTTTGCTCTTTACATTCAAACTCTAACATCTTTGTCAGACATTACTGCATTATTGTATGTTATGATAATGGTATTAAAAAAAGTTTAAAATGGGATTTCCCTATTGCGGATTTTTCCTCTAAGGACACTAGAGACTAGTAGAAGGTAGTAATGTTACTGGGAGGTTATGGGAGCATTTGAAACAATTTGGATAAAATTAAAAACAAAAATTCTGAAGAATATTTAGGACGGGCTGTGTCAAATTACAATTTCTTTGTACACTAACTGGCAACCAGCTAGTCTTTAGAGCTTACTTTTTTTTTTTTTTTTTACCACATCTTGTATTAATGAGTTTTTCAGGTTTAAGAAAGTATTTTTTGTTCAGTTTATATTTTTGAACAATTTATATAGTTTTAATTAAAGATGCTGCAGTGATTTTTTTTCATTTACCATTTATTTATACAGGTTAGTCTCATTGAGCCACGAGAACTCATTTTCAAGAGAGACCTGTTTAGGGAGCAGATGGTGGGGGTTAAGGGCCTTGCTCATGGGCCCAGAGTGGGGTGAATCAGGGTGGGAGCAGGTGTGGGTGCTTCACCTACCCCACCCACATTTTTGATGTTGTCGGTACCGGGGCTTGAACTGGCAATCTTCTGATCACAGGCCCACCTTCTCTAACCTCTGCGCCACCACTCCCCGATTCTATGCAATAGCGTGGGGGGAAGTGAGGGGTTATAAAACATTATACAAGGTTTTGTGAGTTCACCAGGTGAATTAACCTTTAAAGAAAAAGACATACTGATCATTGTCCATTATTGTTCGTTCACAATTACACTTAGTTTATTTTAGCTGCTGGTTTTAGCTTAACTGCTGGGTTCAACTTCTTACTTGGGGACGAACAAAGAGTTTTGTGATTAGATTCCAGTGATAAAATACTGTTTTTACTTTTAGTAGGAAAAGACAAGTGATATATTTCTTTAGTATTTTGCCATGTGTAACTTTCTCTACCTGTGTTGGCTTGTTGCAAGAAATTCCCTGGATCTCCAGATAATTAAAGTTGTGTTCCACCTAAAAGACAAACAACCACTAAAGTTGAAGTAATGTTATATTGTGATAAAAAGCAATGTCTTCCTATAGAGATGAAAAAAAGAGGTATTACATGATTATAACAACAATATTTCTAGTAGCTGATATCATATCACTGATAGTGAATCATAAATTACTAAACATTAAACCCCTTTGCAAGAAATGTAATAGCAAAATTAGTAAAACATACTTTGCATTAATAGATTTGTCAAATATATGCCTGGTCTTCTGAATATGCACAAAATAGGACTACAGGCACTTTTATTGTTAAAGCTAATCTATTTCTTTTGCCTAACGGACCAATTTTATACTTTTAAAAAACTCGGGTATTTTGCAGCTGCATGGACAAATACTGAATAAATAAATCAATTTTAAAAAGCCCTATGCAGCACAAGTCAGTGCATTTATTGTAAAACACTTTGGCCAAAACTAATATGCGAGTTCATCAAAGCGACACCATACTGGTTCGGTTTCGGTCGAGGCCTGGGTTAACAACAACCGCCACCAGTGCTGATAATAAACAGTGTGCTGGCAGAATTTGTGCTACTGTTAGTCGAAGACCACGAGGAGAGAAACATGTCAGGACACAGAGGGAGAAGAGGAAAGTGAAGAATGTAGGACTGAACTCTAAATGTGGGGACAATGACAGGCAAAGGTAGAGAGCTGGCTGACATGATGCAGAGAAGGAAGGTAGATGTTTTATGTGTCCAAGAAACCAAGTGGAAGGGCCGCTAGGCAGCATTGAATCAGAGTTTTAACTGTTTTACCAGGGTGTGGATAGAAAGAGAAATGGAGTAGGGGTGATCCTGGAGGAGGAGTTGGCAAAGAATGTAGTAGAGGTGAAAAGAGTGTCAGATAGGGTGATGTGTCTGAAGGTAGAGGTAAAAGGTCTGATGCTAAATGCTGTCAGTGGTTATGCTCCACAGGTTAGATGTGATGTGGAGGACAAGGTTACATTTTGGCAAGATCAGGGTGAAATGATAGAGAGTATTCCCAGGGAGGAGAGAGTGGTGATCGGAGCAGACCTGAATGGACTTGTTGGTGAAGGAAACAGAGGGGATGAAGAAGTGATGGTAGGTTTGGTGTCAAGGAAAGAAACCAGGAAGGACAGATGGTAGTGGATTTTGCCCAAAGAGTGGAAATGGCTGTAGTGAACATCTATTTCCAAAAGAGGGAGGAACATAGTGGCCTATAAGAGTGGAGGAAGGAGTACACAGGTCGACTACATTCTGTGTAGAAGAGGAAACTTTGGGAACTGTAAGGTTGTGGCAGGGGAGAGTGTAGCCAGACAGCATCAGACACATTGTGTCAAGCAGATCTGAGTCAGGGGATTAAGGCTGAGAAAAAACTTTGTGTGCCCCCCTATAAAACTGTCTACATGTCATGCAAGTATTCCTGTCCCGATGTTGGCCTGATCTACCCAATAAAACCTACATTTGTCTGCCATTGTCCCCACATTTAGAGTTACCACCCTCAGTCCTACATTCTTGACTTTCCTCGTCTCCCTCTGTCTCCTGACACATTTCCCTCGTGGTCTTGGACTAACAGTAGCACAATTTCCCCCGCACCTTGTTTGTCAACAGCACCGGTGGCAGTCGTTTTAACCCCAACATCGTCGATGGATGAACTCATGTTAGTTTTGGCACAAGCTTTTTTTTTTAAATGTCAGATGCCCTTCCTGACACAACTATCACCATTTAACTGGGCTTGGAACTGGTAGAAGAGATACACTGGCTCTCTAAAGACTGAAGTTAAAACCTATGAAATGTCATATTTTTATTCTATTAAACTCAAGTCAGAAATTAAACAGACTAATAGAAAAACAGTGATTAAAAATATTGTTTTCTTAGTTTAGACATTTTCTAGATAGCACCCAGGTAAATTATAAAAATGTCCCAGCCTACTTATATTTTTAAAATTTGATAGCAATCAGCTCTCACCTTGGTGGGAATGCGTGCTGTTAAGAGGTAAGCACGATGAGAAGCCAGAGCCTGAAGGAGAACAGAGAAAATAATGAATGAGCTTACTGAATCATCTGATTCTTGAGCTTTAACAACAAGAAAACGACAACAAGTGTCACACTGACTCAAGAGACATAAAGATGTGGGAAACGTCTGTCAAGATGGAATCAAACACTGAAGAGATTTGTATTGCAAAAAGATCAATCTGGCCTTCAGATACAAACAAGCAGCATTTCTGTTCCCTTAGCTGGTTTAATGAAATAAAATGCACTCAACTGCAACTCAATCATGTTAAAAAGATGCATGTTGAATTCAAAAGACTTTAGTGCTATAACCAATTAGTTAATAAGTAAGTGCTATGTATTGTCATCATTGTATGTTCCCATAAAATGACAACATTTGTGCTCTGCATTTAACCCATCATATGTGAGATACACCCAGGTGGAGCAGTCGGCAGCTGTTATTACTATAGTAAAGTACAGTAGTCACTTCGCGGTTCGTTTATTGCGGATTCGCTATATCACGTTTTTTCAAAGTAAGATTAGACATGACACAGTTGGCTAATTGATGGATGAGCCATGGGTTGTTAATTTAAAATAAATTATTTTAAAGGATTTTGCACCATGTGTGAAGCCCACAAGTGCAGGGGAAAGCTCCCTCCTGCAGCTGATCAGCTGATCTCCTTCTCTGCCACGCACACATTTCTCTTGCTGCATCAGCTTTGTGAAGGGTTAACCGGGTTAATCTGGACAGCAAAGGGTTAACTTAACCTTTTTGCTGTCCAGATGCATCAATCAACTTTTGTCTTCCAACTTAAAATTCAAAGTATGTCACATCGTAAAATCATCATAATCACACAATATAAAAGTGTTAAAAGTTATTTTAAATTATTTTAGAACTTCTATGTTCAGTTGTTTCAGTGTAATTGATCAAGAAGTACATTTCTGCTCCATGCTGCAGAGATGAAGCTGAGTGACATCCCTTTGATGTCCTTCTCTTCTCTACAATTTAAATTTAAATAATGTAACATTTTAAATAAACAATCCATGCTGTATGGATTGTTTATTTAAAATGTTACATTATTTAAATTTAAATTGTTTATTTAAGGAGGGAGATTGGGAGTAACAGGTGATGGGTGAGGTTACAGCCTGGCACATGTCATGACAAAGTTTCTGAACTTGAACTGAACTTGAACTTAGACTACTGTATCCCTACTTTGCAGTTTTTCACTTATCGTGGGTGGGCGTGGTCCCTAACACCTGTGATAAATGAGGGACTACTGTAGTGTAAACTAACCCAGATGAACAGGAGTAAAAAAAAGAAAAGAAAGACTCACCTTGGAAATATATTTTAAATTTAAAAAAGCCATGGCCGTGGATTTTGTGCTCTCAGAAGATATTACAACCAAGTACAGTGTGACCTTTAAATAGTCGGGGGCGGGGGTGTGGGTGGGGTGGGGGGTTACTTCCAACTTTTCCAGAGGGGAAAAAATAAATGCACGTCAAGAGAGGTTTCAAAAGCGCTCTCAAACTTCTTTTTTCATTTAAATACTAGTTCTTATTTCAGATAAAGGGGTAGTTGAGATCTTTTGGAGTAGTAGTTCAGTGGAAAGCTTATGAACAATTAATAACTTGGATATATAGTTCTTTGAATGACTTGTGTGTGAGGGAATAACATTTACCAGTAATTCTTTACTGAATGATGAACTAACAGATATTTTAAGCAAGCTATACTAAAAGTGCTAGAGTCTGCTACTACCACTGGTTTAATAATCAAAAAATTAAATGTCAAAAATAAAATATCAAGTAATGCATGATTGATAATTTTCTAAAAGTTTTTAAAATACTCTGTATGAACCTCTATGAAATCTTTGCGATTAGTGTCATTTTAAAACAAGAATGCTCTTGGGCCTGGGCTCGGATCATAATAGCTGATGATGCATTCAGGGTTAAACTATTTCTACAAAATCATATAATTCAAAGAGTTATCTATAACAGGTATAATACTAGTAGTTCATAAAAACCTACTACTAAATACCTGAATTACTGATTTCATGACTTTTACAACCATTGAATTACTGGGGAACCCTTAAGGCCTACAATGCCTTCAGATAAGTCCTAAGAATTCAGCACTTGTGAAATGTTACATTTACATTTAGAATTTTAATTTTATGTTGGTTTAAAAAAAAATAGTGATAAACTTTGTGGGGGAGACAATATGTATGGAAGGCTACTTATCTCAGCTAACTTCATAGCAAAGCCTTTATGTCACATTTTTAATTTGTGTTTTAATAAATGTGCTAATCCAGATTGTTAACAATGCCAAACGTTGTTCAACTGTCTAAAAATCCTGAAGAACCACTGCTAGGTCAAGATATCAGGATTTTTTTTTTTCTCAGATCCATGTGAATCTGCAGTGTTACTTCATATACAATTTGGTACAGCAAACATCCCAGGTAAGCAAAAGAAAATAAATTAAAACTGCAAGCAGTGATACAAGGCCTTTGTGCACTGAAACGATTTGGACCATGTGTATGTTCAGAAGAAGTGGACGCTGGCCCATTCCTCCTCATCCCTGTCCACCGAGGACGATTCACATATTCGTCCAGCTCTAAAGCACCTGGTCATGCCTCCTGAAGGCTGCATTGGCTCAAACAATATCAGAGGCAAATTGTGCCAAATATGCCAAATTTGCCCATATGTAGATTTTTGTTCCTCACCATGTTTATTCTACTTCTAAATATGCAGCAAATTTCCAATTGCTTGGTCTACAACAACATAGTGGAAAAAAACATCCCTTTCCCCCCTGCTACTAGCACACCCTTAGGACAATTGTAATGAAAAACTGAAATAAATTAAACACATGACAAATTAGCTCTCTAGTGCCATCTTTAATGCAACCACTCCATCGCTGAATATTTTAACATGAATGTTGGTACATAGGTGCATCAATCCAGGACCTACAAAAGTCTTTTAGCACCAAATTGTAAAATCAACAGGAAGTCAGCCATTTATGAATGAATTGGCAATGTTTTTCCAATTTTTGCATATCCTACAAAACACTATTTTGTCTTTAAATATGAGCAAATCTCCTTGAGATTTGGACCAGAGCACCTTGATAAGATGATGTACAGAAGCTCTTAACAGTTTTTCAAAAATCCTGATGTGTGGGTGTGGGATTAACCAGTGTCACCATCAGAAAAGATGTTGGAGGTAACAAAACTGTACATTGTCCAAACTATACACGACTGTTACAGAAAAACTTAAACAACTACAAGCCAAAACATAATGAATAAGATATGATAAAGGCAGCAAGTCTACCCTCAAAATAAAATATTACAACAAAATGCAAACTGTTCTACAGAGAGCTTGGACAAAAGGCCATTGAAGTTAAATAAAAAGAGATTGAGATATCCCATGCAAATATTTGGGAGAATAAGTAAAACAAAAGCACAGGGAAATTGCTCCCTGGCTAGAGAACTTTGCTAAAGAATATGAAAATGGTAACTATCACAACTCAAAAAACTACAGCAGCCGGGTCAGTCCAGCAGCTGGAAGGCATTAGGTAACAATGGAATAGTCAACCTTTGATTGAAACATCTGCCTGCTGTCCATGTGGACCTGGTCAAAGCATTTGATGATTGCTTCGTAATCCAGAAAAATGCCTAGAAAAGTGCCTAGACTGTAGGGGTGCACCGATAAATTGACCGGCCGATTCCTTAATTTTGGGAAATTGATCGATACTTGCATGAGAAAACAATTTTACAGATTTTTTTTAATTTTTTTTTTTTAGTTTTAACAATTGTCTAAACGTCATTTATATTTCAGAGCACTACCTCATGGCCAGTTAAAACTAATTTGTATTGTTTCTAGGATATTGTTCAAGGGTATGTTTATCAATAAAATAATATTGGAAAATTGAAGGTGCATTGTGACCTTATAACATCTGACAGTGTCGCTTATAAAACAAAATCGGTATCGGCTAAAATTGGAATAGGCAGGTCAGACTTTTTAGAAATCGGTGATTGGTGATTGCCAGAAAACTGCAATTGGTGCACCCCTACTAGACTGCCTGATATCTGGAACCAACTACCTCCTCCCCCATAAATCAAGAAACAGCTAATCTCAAGAACTACAGATCAATAACATGCCTACCAACAATATACAAAATATTAAATCTACAATATGCAAAATAGTATATGATATATAATCTCCATCTATGCTTCATTATAATCCTAGACTCATGATCTGAGACTGGTTTTAATGTTGTAAAAATGCAAATTCTGTAAAAGAAAGAATACTACTACCACTACTACTGCTACTGATAATAATTTCCAAAACAAAAGTGCCTTTCATTGCTTTGTAGCACTGGGGCCAAAATGAACTCACATATATGTCACGCCTGTCACGATAAGTTTTGCTGGGCAATTAGTTCCTTAGATAGAGAACTTTACTAATTGGTTTTTATGTATGTGAATGTTCCTGTAAAGTGCCCTGAGACAACTTTGTTGTGATTTGGCGCTATATAAATAAACTGAATTGAATTGAACTGTCTCAGAAATTATTGCTATAAACGATAATATTGTTTGAAATTTAACAATAATTAATGTCAAATTTTAGAAGAAATGTTGATTTCTTTGGTGTGTAGTAAATGTTTTGACCACCTGATGGCAGTATAAGATTGTTTGAACCAAAGAATGGATCTTAGTTGAGCAGCGTGTCTCTTTAAGAAAAATGGGAGGGAGGGCCCTTGACATGACATGGGCTGACATGGTGACATGGTGGACGCTCAGTGATTTGAGCTCTTTAGCATAGCATTTTAATTTTCACACAAAGATTTAAATAAAAAAAAAAATCAGTAAACAAGTTCTCAGCATCTTTTTGCAGAGGAAAACAACTTTTTACACGAAGGCTCGGGTTTCAACCATGAATTTTGGAGCTTCGACAAGACGGAGGTTTATTCCCGAGGTCGGCCTGTTAGCTTAGCTCGTAGCTTAGCTTCTCAGCTTAGCCGCTTTTAACAATCCAAAA